GTCTTTAAAAAAAAACCAACATGTTGAGCCACTGTATGGGCTGTATGGACTTTGGTACTGTGTGCAGTTTTGGGCATCTATTAAGGGTCTTGGACCGTATTCCCTGTGGATAAGGGGGAACTACTATACTGGACACTGAAAACAATTGTTCTTTTATCTGTTTTTACTTGTAAAAATAATTTAGTCCATTCCCCTAATGCATCAATTATTTCTACTTATGTTTCTTTTGCATTCTTGATTTTGTCATTTTACATATATAATGTTTATAGAATTTGTCATTCAGTCAGCTGATATTTGAGTGGCTTCTATATGACAGGCACTGGGGATATAGCAGTGAACAAAACAAACATCCACTCCCTCTTGTAGCTTCTAATGGGAGCAGCCAAGTATAGTATGTCACATGATAAGTGACAAAGTAGGAAGGGAGGACAGAGTGTGTGGGGCAGTAGGTTTGTAGTTGTAGAGAAGGCCTCAGTAAGGTATCGTTAGACCAAAGATTTGCTGGAGGAATTGATACAATCAGGCAGGTAGACTTGGGATAAGCATTCCAGGCAGAGGAAGTAGCAAATTCTGGATTTGGATTTAGGGTTTGGGAGAAAGATTAGAGGATTCAACACCAAGGTTTTAGCCCTTGGCAACTGGAATGATTTGCCATTTTCTGAATTGGAAGTGGTGAGTGAGTGAGCAGCCAGGGTTATTCTGTGAGGAGGGGGAATGTGGGAAATCAGGAGTTTCTTTTGAGGAATGTCAGGTTCTTATAAGACATGTAAGTGGAGATCTTTAGTAGCCATTTGAATATGCAAGAATTATGATTATTTGGGTTTTTGTATATTAAAAGCATTTACTTTTGTAAATAATGAAATCGTTTTCTAATTCTATTTATAGAACCAGTTCTTAGCCACTAGTAGGTGTGTAGGTGTTGTTAATAGCAAAGAGCATTTATTCTTTCCTTTCTTTCTTTTTTTTTTTTTTTCTTTCTTTCTTTCTTTCTTTCTTTCTTTCTTTCTTTTCTTTCTTTCTTTCTTTTTCTTTCTTTCTTTCTTTTCAAAAAATTCTTCTGTTGCCCAAGCCGGAGTGCAGTGGCGTGATGTTGGCTCACCTCAACCTCCTTTTTCTGGGTTCAAGAGATCCCCCAACCTCACCCTCCCAA